TGGGCGGAGGCCAGAGGTACTTACCTGCAGCGCCGTTGCTCCAGCTTCGTCTTCGAGGTACCTGCAGCACAGCGCCAACATCACAGGTTAGTCCTGGCTCGTAACAGAGAGAGAGAGTTCTTCTTCCTCTTCTCAGTCCACCATCTCCCTCTCACCCTCTCATCATCTGACTTCACTGCATCTGCAGACTACGAGAGAAGAGAGAAAGAGCTTGGTGACATCGGATCCAGACTCGACTTTTGGACTTCAGACATTGCAATGAGGGATTATTTGGGACTTGTGACAAAGACTTCGGGTTGACGACATTCCCATCTCTCTCCCTCCTTTCGTCCGATTCCCTCCTCTTCGTCTGTGTATGTCTGGACCTGGCGCTTTCTTCCTGTGCACAGCGCCAGGCTCCTTCACACCTGGTGATGGATACGATGTATGTTGGTCTACGTTCAAACATTGATTGGGCTAGTCATTAGCATTCTAGCATTCTGCTTCGCTATCTTTTGCTACGTGAATGAGGTCAGTCCTGGTCAGGTCAGGCTTTATATCTAAGTCTTCCCTGCGCTATTCATCATCATTTTGTATGTATCAGAATGCACATTGCTTGCTGAGATTCTACTTGCACTGCATTGTCCATTCAGTCCCTTTCATCACATTGCGGATCCTCGGTTATTATGTACATTGCCTATCTGGGCATCGCTTGGATGTGATCATCTGATTCAGATCGGATCATCAGGTCTGGTCATCAGATTGCATTATTGTATCTGAGGATGTGCCCACACTGGATGATAAGGATCTGATGTCATCAACAGATGAGATGACCTTCTAGGCCAGGCCTGTTGTTAAACAGAATCTAGGAATACTTATGGGCAAGCCCTAAGTCCTGTGTTGCCTTGCTTGGTGTGGACTCGCCGTGAATTCGTTTTCTTGAAAAGGCATGGGGAAGGATGCTTGAATGTTGCTTAAAAGATGCTGCAGCTGTATGCATGATCTTCCATGGGACTCCATATCCATGAGGTACAATAGATGCGACCAAAACTCTCGGAGGAAGGCTTCACATATACTTTGCAAGTCTGAAAGACTCTGAATCAATCTGCTACGACCAAAACTCGCGTTAAAATTGAGAATGGTTACTTACCTTACAAAAATTACGTTTCAGTTCACATCGATCACTTTCGTATCTTCTGTCTGGCTTTAGCAATCCCTTTTCCTCTTTGTGCTTATGTGTGATGTCATGTGTGTGACATGGTACTAGGAGGATGGGATGAATCAAATGAGACTTGACTCATTTTGTTAACGCTGTTGAAAATGTTTATGAAACTTTCTATTGTCAAACCTATTTTTATGAAACTTTCAATTGTCTAGCAAATGAGAACTTGACTCATTTTGTTAACGCTGTTGAAAATGTCAAACCTATTGTAGAGACCTGCCTCAGCTACGGTGCGGCAAAGGATGATGACAAAAACATTTTGCAAAACACCCCCGACATCGGTTGGACCCCATCTTTGCAATGTACCCCTACCACATGCCGTCGAACTTTGCAAAATGCTCCTGTAGTTGTCAACTTTTCGTAGGTGCAATTGCAAAAGGCCAAGGTGCAAACGGGAAGGCTGAGATTGCAAATTTGCACACTGGCGTGACAGGGGCATAACACAAAGATGCCAGCCCAAAAGGCCATTCCACTGTGACCAGATCTTTCAGGGACATTTTGACAACTTATGCGCATATTTGGCAAATTACCCCCCCCCAAAAAGGTGGACTCTCTACCCCCCCCCAAAAGGTGGATTCTCTGCCCCCCCGCCAAAAAGGTGGACTCTCTCTCTCTCTCTCTCTCTCTCTCTCTCTCTCTCTCTCTCTCTCTCTCTCTCTC